AACTTACCTGTTTCATATTCCATGGTAAATCACGTGAACGTACACGACGTTGTGTACCATTTGGATAACGTACATCTAAATTATAATAACTACGTTGATGTTGTTTATTATGTAAAAAATATATTGCTGTTGAACGTAATTTTTGTAATTCTTCACAATGACCGGTTAATGTTTGCGATTGCTGACCAGAAGATCTTTGTTGATTCAAATGATCCGCAACAGTAGATTTCGAACGTAATGGCATTGATTTTTGTCGTTGTCTTCGTTGTTGTTGTTGTGGATCAATGTTTGATAATCGATTGGTTGAATATAATCCAATCGATTGATCCATCAATGATGATTGACGTATTTGTCGCCGTTGTTTTTCATGATTATTCAGACAATATAATGGTGTTCGTGATATGTTGAATGCACCTTGAATATAATCACCTATGATATGATATGAAATGAAAACAAGAAATTAAAAACAAACGAAATTAAGGCATATTTTCAAAATCAAAAAAAGAAAAAAACTTTCTAGGATAATTTTCAATTTTTTTTTTGAAATAAGCTATAATCATTTTCATCTTGAATAATAATCATGTTTGATTTACATTTCATTTCATTTCATTTCGTTCGACGTTTTGTTTTCAAAACTTGATCATTTCATCAGAAACAAAAATCGATTATATTATTATATTATTATTGTTCAATTAGGACATTCTTTTTGATTATAATGAATCACTAGCCAATGATTATCTTTTCTGATTTTTTTTTTCTTTGAATGAAAATTATGTTAAATTTGCAAAAAAAAATTGTTTTTTTTAAATCCTTCAAGTCATTAACTAATTGAGATTGCTTTGGTTCAACAGCAAAAAAAAATTCCCGAAATCTTTCCGGAAAATCTGCAAAGAAACATTTTCGGAAAATCTTTTTTTTTTTGAATCCATATTTTACACATCTTTTCTAATCTCTAAAATCTTTTTTTTTCATCATCATTAATGAAAAAAAATATTAATGAAATATTCATCATCATCATCATCATTATCAATGTGAAACATCATCATCATCAAAGATGATAATAATTATGATTATCTCAAACGACGAAATAAGAGAAAAGAGAAAAAAATACATAATGATAATAATGTGTTGTTGTTGTTGCTGATAACCGAAAGTTTTGTAATGTTTTCGTATCTAGTGTAACTGTTTTTTCCCAAAATGATGATAAAATCTTAATGAAAATAAAAGAATATCCTGCATTTGTTTTTCGTTTTCATTTATTTTTCACACCAGCATCACTACCACCACCTACAATTTTTTCTGTTGTTGTTGTTATCTTTTTTAATGATCTTTATATTCATATTTGGAAATTAATAAACTGTTTTTTTCATTTTCAATTTTCAATGTCTTTCAAGCCATTGAAAACATCTTTCAAATGCTAAAAGACCAAATGGAGTTTTTCTAATTTCAATTTCAATTACATAATAATGAAAAATGGACAAAAAACGTTATCAAATCAAGAAGAAAAACTGAACAAAATATCATCGATCGATATCCAATATTGATATAAGGAAAAAGGAAAGTCCTGTGTGTGGAAAACATCCCAAAAAAAACAGGAAAAAGAAAACCGAATGATATCGATGAAAACCAATTTTTTTTAAATCATTAATTCAATCAAATATCGATTTTATGATAAAATTGTTGTTTGATTGACCGTTTTTTATCTAGGGATGTGTTTTTTTTCCGATATGAAAAAACATTATTATCATCATCATTATCATCATCATACAACACAGAAGCATCATCAATAAATATTGTTGTGGGAAAAAAGGTCATCATCATCATCATCATCATTGAAATTGATCAATTCATCATCAGATATTAGAAAAGAAATATTGACAATTTTTTCTCTTCAAATGACATTGAATCAATGAAGATTACAAAGAAGAAGAAACTTTTGCGATAAATGAAAAAAAATATCGATAGCTAAAGAAAAGAAAAACGACAAAGATAATTTATCGATAATGATTATTATTATCATTTTCATTAGTCGATAAATGATGAAAACGTTTTAGTTTGGCCAAAACGTAAAACGTAAAACGTAAAATATATTAATAATTTCTTCATTCATTCATTCAAAATATGAAAAATAAAAAATATTCAAATCAATAATGAATGAAATAGGTAAGAAAAAAAATCATGTCATCATCATCATCATCATCATTGAATGGCAGCTACAAAAATGACAATGATGATGATGTTTTGTCATTTTGTAGCTGCTGTTTTTTTTTGATGACCTTTCTACCACCACCGTTTAACATTTTCATATATTTTTTTTTTGTCTTCTTTTGTGTACGAAGAATTTCAAAAAAATGATAAGGATGTTTTTATTATGGATTATATAATGAATAATAGGATGATAAGGTCGAAATAGTCAGCAGAAAAAAATAATAATGAATAAAAGGGGAAAAACTATTCTATTCTAACCTTTTTTTTCTTAAAATTCAATGACAACTTTTATCATGATGAAATACCGAAGTGAAAATAGCCGAAATAAGAGAGAGAGGGGAAAATAAATCTTTTTTCTTTCTTTCTTTATCTATTTCCACTATTGATTGTGTGTGTGTGACAATCGTATTAACTTGGTTTATTTGGCAAGAAAAACATCAACAGCAGAAGCTTTTTTAAATCCTTTTTTAAAATGAAATAATTAAGAAGATTTTCAATCGAGAAAACAAAGCTAAAAACAACAATCTTGATTTTTGAAACCGGTGTGAGAAGATTGTTATGAATGACAGATTTCTGGCGGGAAATATAAACAAACAAACAAAAATTTTCGGAATCGATTAATCGATTATTATGCATGGCTAATCATTTGGCTATTTTAACATATCCAATACCTTATTGTTGACCATTATCATCATTCATCAAAATGAAATGGTATTTTCATCAATCAAATTCTCTCTTTCTTTCTTTTGCAGAAACAAAAATGAACTCAATTTGTTTTGTTTTGTTTTGTTTGTTTTTTTCTGGTAAAATTCATTCATTCATTCATCATTATTATCATTATCTATGATGTCATCCAATATTGTTTTATTATTTTGACAACAACAACGATGATGATAATAATGACAACAACGATGATGACAACAAGGTCGATATAGTTGAATCTGGATGATGATTATTATAATAATGATGATGATGATTAAAATATTTTTTTAAAATATTTCAAAACTTTTAAAAACAAAAAGATATAGAAAATTTTTTAGGTCAAAACCCTTTTTCATATTTGTATTGCGAAACAAATCATTTTTTCTCATTTTCATATTTTTGTTAGCTGACCTCAAATAAAGTCAAATGATAATGATGTCATCTATATTCATCATTCCATTATCATTCGATTGCAAAATTATCCCCAAAAAAATGACCATCATCATTTTGTTTTTGTTTTTCTGATTAATTGAAAAACGAACGATGGTCATCATCATGGTAATGAGGACAAACCGATCAAACAAAATAATCATCTTTTTTTTATATAAAAAAAACATACCTTGTGTAAATCTACGTTGATCAAATGAACGACTTAAATGACGATTACGACGATATTTATAATAATACCAAAGATTATTACCACGTGTTATAATTGTATCATAACCATTAAAATATGCTGAATCAATATAATTTTCATTACAAAAATCATTATTATTATTATTATTATCAATATTTATTAATCGATGTTGATGATTTTCTGATGATAATGTTTCATATTGATCATTATTATTAGAATTTTTCGTTAAATTATTATTCTTTTTATAATAACCATTTTTTTCATCATATAAATATTCATCATCATCATCATCATTATCATCTTGTTCATCAATATCTTCCATATATTGATTATTTGATAACGACGATTTATTATCGATTTTTGATTGTATCGATGATACAGGTGTCGATAACGATGATGATGATAAATTTGATATGATCAATGATGATGATGAAATATGATAAGCCAAAATTGATGAACAATAATTTATTAAAATGAATAAAATTATCTTCAACATTATTATTATTAATGTTGATGTCGATGATGGTGAATTTGGAGATCTCATTTTGTATCGATGATGATGATGATCAATCATTTTTGATTTGATTTGAAAAAAACCAGTAAAACCCTTTTTTTTATCGTAGAAAACTTTTTCAAGATTATCATTATGATAATCAGTTTGTAAACAAAATCACAACATTTATGAACATTGATTTCGAATTTGATCTTTAAAAAGAATTCGAACATTAACAACTATCGATATCGGAACAATCGATATTTGTCAAACACAAAACGTTCGATAATTTTTCATTCGAATGATGATTATCGTTAGAAAAATTTTTGAAAATATTCAACAAGTTTTCATGGAACAAAAAACATTTGGCGGCAGTCAAACGTTTTACATCTTTGTTGCCAAAAGACGATAAAATTTTTCATCTCCTGTGAACGTACCACATCCAACTTTGACAAACGAATTGATTTTCTCTTTTTTCACATCGAGTTTTTCTCTTTTTCTCATTTAATTTTTTTGTTTTCGTCAAATATGATTATCATCATCATTAATTATGATAGCGGTGATGGTGTTGTGATCTTGGTGGTGGTGGTGGTGGTAGTTCGTGGTGGTTATATTAATGATTTTTGTTTTGCATTATTCAAATCGAAAAAAAATCAATTGATTTTTTTTTTTGCATTATTCAAATCATTGATGAATATTGAAATTGATCAATCGATTGATTTTCTTCTTCGTTGATGGTGATGATGAAGGTGGTGTTGAAAACCGCTTACCACCATTATCGTCGAATTGAGTCGAGTGGAACCAAAATGAGAAATCTGGCGGAAAAACAACAACAACATTAATTTTTTTTCGGAAAAATTTTCTTCAAATTAAGATAAACCCTGAAGCATTTAACTTCTCTTTTTTCCGTTTGGTTACTGCTCTATCTCTCTATTTTTGTTGTTTTCTTTTTGTTTCAACAAAAAGATGTGAAAGAGAAATATCAAGATAACTTTCTTGAACAAAATGATGAAAGAGAGAGAGAATGTGGGGGAGGAATTGATTTTCATAATCATAATAATGATTATTTTTTCAATGATTTTCTTTAGTTGTTTGGATCGATCCAAATTAGATCATATGACTTTGAGTGTTTTTGTTTTGTCTGTTGCATCAAACACAGATCCGGGAACAAAATAAACAAAAACAAAACATGCACACACACATATCGATAGTATCGATTATTTTTTTTAAATGAATCTTTCTTGGATTTTGAATCACGATTCGAAAATCAACAACAACAACAACACCTTGACCGATTAAATAATCTGATTTTTCAAAAAAGAAAATCCTGTATAACTTTTGATTTTTGATCTGTAATCTTTATTTTTTCATTTGAATAAATAATGTTTTCGTCGATGTCGATGATGATGATTAGATCCAAATCGATTTTCTATGTTTTTTTTTGAATTCAAATCATTTTTTGAATTCAAAATTCAATCGAAATGAAATGAAATGAATAAAGTCAAGTCATTACACAAAACAAAACAAACAAACATTCACACATGCCATACAACAAAACGGTCAAATTCAATCAAGGTGTTAAATTCTCACCAATCATCGCATATCGCATATCATCAACTGGAAAAAAAATGAATTGATCTTTTGTTTATTATGTCATGTTTACATGTGTGTGTGGTTTTCTCTTGTATTCACCGAAATAATCATGATGATGATGATGATAAAAAATGTAAATTTGGAAAAATTGCTTGAGAACAACAAATGAAAAAAAATCATTATTTATTCATCATCACCTTGTTATTTTTTTTCGGCTATTAAAAACTTTTTTCCGCCGATTGTTTTTAACACACGCAAACACACACAAACACAGATTTTGTGTTTACTGAAACATTGTGGATATTTACATTTCGGAAAAAAATGATCGCTTTTTTTGGTTTTTTAACGGGGAAAAAAATTTCACAAAAAAAATGAATTTTTTTTTGATTTCAATAAATGTCAAATTCGAATGATTGAATCCAAACAACAACAAAAAAAAACCGATAGTGTTCGATCGATATATCGATTGTTATATTCGATAGTTCTTTTCGAACGTTTTTATCCGCTTCATTAAACATTCGATTTTTTTCTTTGTTCCAGAAACACAATTTATCTATTGAATAATGAACGCCTATCGATTATAATTTTTGAATTTTCGTTTTTTGTTTTGTTTTTTCATCACTTTATTCATCATCCATCAAAAAAACCGAAACAAAAAACCATTTGATGATAATTAGAATCATTAAGATTGATAATTATTATTGTTGTTGTTGAAAAGAATGGTAATGAAAACAACGACAACAAAACTGATAAAAACACACCTTTTGAACAACAAAAACAACAAACGAAAGAAGAAGAATTGAAAAAATCAAGTTTTGTAAATGTGTGATGATGATTATGGTGTTTGTTATCCAGGTCAAATGAAGAATTCTTGATCGATTCAAGAAAAATATTGAATTATGGCTTATTAAACGAATCGATTGCAACTATACCACCACTCATGTGGAAAGAAAAAAATTCTTTATTGAAAATTATCATTTAAAATTCGACTATGAATCTCACTGCATGATATTTATGCATACGAAAACAAAAACAATAATAATGATGTTGATAATCAAAGACAAGTAAGAAAAAAAACCCAACAAATTTTCTGCCCAAAACATATTGAATTTCATTTTGTTATTGTCTACCGGTTGGATGTCTGAATTTTCTTCGATGGCTTCAGTTGTTGTTACAAGAAATTTATCGCTCAATGAAAATAAATGATTGATTACAATTATAAATTGAATCGAACATTCGGCAACAAACAAGCAGAGAACAACAATNAAAAAAAAAAAACCGATAGTGTTCGATCGATATATCGATTGTTATATTCGATAGTTCTTTTCGAACGTTTTTATCCGCTTCATTAAACATTCGATTTTTTTTCGTTTGTTCCAGAAACACAATTTATCTATTGAATAATGAACGCCTATAATTTTTGAATTTTCGTTTTTTGTTTTTTCATCACTTTATTCATCATCCATCAAAAAAACCGAAACAAAAAAAAACATTTGATGATAATTATAATCATTAAGATTGATAATTATTATTATTATTATTGTTGTTGAAAAAAATGGTAATGAAAACAACAACAAAACTGATAAAAACACACCTTTTGAACAACAACAACAACAAACGAAGAAGAAGAATTGAAAAAATCAAGTTTTGTAAATGTGTGATGACGATGATGATTATGGTTTTTGATCCAGGTCAAATGAAGAATTCAACAAAAATATTGAATTATGGCTGATTAAACGAATCGATTGCAACTATACCACCACTCATGTTGAAACAAAAAATTCTTTATTGAAAATTATCATTTGAAATTCGACTATGAATCTCACTGCATGATATTTATACATACGAAAACAAAATGAAAAACAATAATAATGATGTTGATAATCAAAGACAAGTAAGAAAAAAACCCAACAAATTTTCTGCCCAAAACATATTGAATTTCATTTTGTTATTGTCTACCGGTTGGATGTCTGAATTTTCTTCGATGGCTTCAGTTGTTGTTACAAGAAATTTATCGCTCAATGAAAATAAATGATTGATTACAATTATAAATTGAATCGAACATTTGGCAACAAACAACAAACAGACAACAACAACAATAACTACGAAAAGAAAACAATCAAAACAAAAAATCATTCATTTATAAAAGCCACGTTTATATAAATGAATGATTTTTACGAAACGTTTTTATCGTTCTTATTTATTTATTTATTAAAAATCGATTGATTGATTGATTGATTTTTGATCAATGTTTGTTTCAATCATCAATATGTTTTGTTGTTGTTGTTGATGTTGATGTTTTTTTTTGACCACAACAACAACAACAACAACAAAATATTAATCTTTATTTTCGTGGCCAACTTCTCTTCTCTTCTCTTCAACATTTATTTATATCAATTACCAATTCGATGATGATGATATTGTGACCACACCTGATGATATTATTTTGTTTTGATCGGTGGACAATCGCAATCTGGATAAAAAACTATTGACCAATCAAATTACAAAAATTGTCACTTTGGCCAAAAGAATGAATGAGTTTTTTCGTTGTTGCAACATTGAAATTCAATAATGATCATCATGAATCATTTTGTTACTGGTAATCATCATTATCACTATTTTTATCAAGAACAAAACTTTCAAAAAAATCGGTCATTCGGAAACAATTCGAAATGAATTTGGCTGAAGGCATTCTGCTTTTTTGGTAAGTAGTTGTTGTTGTTGTTGGTGGTGGTGGTGGTTTATGATTGATTTTTTTTCCAGCTTTTTTGTTGCTGAAATTATCATGATGATGATGATTATTTTTTTCGTTTTGATTGAACTTTATGACATTTAATCGACTTAATGATGATGATTATTATGATGATCATCATGATCATTATAATGATGATAATCAAAAGATTGAATTGTGATCAATCATTATAATAATGATAATGAAAGAAAAAAAATATTCAATGTCAAAATTGATTCATTACCTGAAAAAAAAGATACCTGGAAGATACTTGTCAAGAAAATATTTGAAAATTTTAATAATTATTTTAGGTTTTGTGGTGAGTAAATCTTTGTCGTAGTCATGTGTTTTTTTAATATTTTTTTTCTTTTTGTTATTCAGATTTTTCATCAAATTGAATTTATTTTTTGATAAAAAAATAATGGCAAATGATGATGATTAAATTTAAAAATCGATGATTTCAAAATTCCATTATCATCATCGAATCATTATCATCAGTGATGATGATGATAATGATATTTCGATGACCCAAATTCTTGACAATCAATGAAAACCGATAACCAACAAAATTCAAATTCGAATTATTTGAAAAAAAAGATAAACCAAACGCCATCTATCGATCAAGATTATTTGTTTTGAAATTTGAAATTTGTTTTTTTATTAATTATCAAAATTAGTATACTATTCACAAATCTTTTTCAAAAAAAGATTATCGCTTAAAAAAAACAATTCAAGAAATTCGATAATATTTTTTTTGTTTTCCGAAAGATTGTTAGTAATTTTCGGTAAAACATCTTTGATAGTTAATTCGACAAGTTTGTCATGCATATCATCAAGTTCATATTTGCTAATTATTGGAAGATAAATGCACAAAGTTTGCTTATTGAGATCTCTTCGTATGAATGTTCGACAATGTTTCATTAATCGTTCATCACCATAACAATTGGCCAGATCAATAAGTTTAGCTATATTGGATTGATTGATACGAATACGGCCAGTATGTAACATCACTAGATATGAATAATAGATATCATAACTATAATCTTTGATGATCACTTGGTCATTTTCTTGCCAATCACCCGAAAACATTCGATTATAATATTTTGATGACATTTTCAGGTAACATTTCCGAGCCAATATACGTTTGTCATCAATAACAAATTTGACGTCATAATTATCAGGATTATCCAATAATCCAATGATTGATATCGTGTCATACGATTCGAATNGTCGAAATAGACGAGTTTATGATTTTGTAAATATTTGGCGAGTAATTTGTAAAAAAAAAATATTTATTTAAAAAAATGAATGATTTGATTTTGTTAAGAAAAAAATTTGTTTTTTATTAATTAATTAAAATACTACTCGCAAATCTTTTTAGAAAAATTATCGCTTAAAAATAGCAATTCAAGAAATTCGTTATTTTCTTTGTTTTCCAAAAGATTGTTAGTAATTTTTGGTAAAACATTTTCGATAGTTAGTTGGATAAGTTTGTCTTTCATTCCATCAAGTTCATATTTATTAATTAATGGAAGATAAATGCGCAAAGTATGCTTATTGAGATCCGTTCGTATGAATGTTCGACAATGTTTTATTAATCGTTCATCACCATAACAATTGGCCAAATCAATAAGTTCGGCTATATTGTATCGATCGATTCGGATTCGGCCAGTATGTAACATATGTAAATAAGAATAATAAACATAGTAACTATAATCTTTAATGATCACTTGATCATTTTCTTGCCAATCACCCGAAAACATTCGACTATAATATTCTGATGACATTTTCAGGTAACACTTACAAGCTAATATACGTTTGTCATCAATAACAAATTTGACGTCATAATTATCAGGATTATCCAATAATCCAATGATTGATATCGTGTCATACGATTCGAATGAATAGATGGTTGATGTTAAGCCATAAGTGATTGATGATTTGTATTGCATTACTGATGCTGCAGCGAACGATTTCAGTTGACCATCCAATTTTTTGAGCGGGACCAATTCTTTAGTATTTAATCTACCCCATCTATAATAATGTGATGAATGATCCAAAGCCAATGAAGTAAGGTAATAATTCGTACAAGCCACACTTTGCACATTTTCAATGGGTATTTTTGTCGGCACTTTTGCATCTTGTT